TTTGGGGCCAGTTTCCCCCTTACTTGGGTGGGGTGGCTGACCTCGATTTTGCGCAGGACTAAGTCCTCTAACCTTATCGATCGGGGTCGCACGAACCTTATCGATCGGGGTCGCACGCTCCGGTTGTAGACCCTCGCTACGGCTCTTTTGTAAGAAAGGGCTTTCTGGTGTGCGTCGGCCCGTCTTTCCTCGAGCAGGTCCAGGTTTGATCGGAGCCCTTCGCCCGAGGCTTCTTCGTTGTAGTCTGCCGTCCGCGGAGTCGGGACGGCTACCTCGGGTGGCAACACGGCCTCGGTCCCGAACGCGAGGCTATAGGGAGACTCCCCGGTCGGGGTCTTGGGGGTAGTGCGAAGCGCCCACAGGACGCTCGGGAGCTCGTCGATCCAAGCCGATCGGGTAGCGGATACCCTTCTCTTGAGTCCGTCGACGATGGACCGGTTGGTTACTTCAGCTAGCTCGTTCGCCTGGGGGTAAGCCACCGAGCAGAACCTCAGCTGAATTTTGTGCTTGGCGCAAAACTCCTAGAATTTCCTGCCGGCGAACTGAGGTCCATTGTCGGTGACGATGGACTGGGGCAGGCCGAAACGAGTTATGATGTTTCTCCACACGAACCTTTCCACTTGCGACTCCGTGATGGTTGCTAGGGGCTCGGCTTCGACCCATCTGATAAAGTAGTCCACTCCCACGATAATGTACTTCCGCTGGCCGGAGGCGGGCGGGAGAGGCCCGAGTATGTCCAGTCCCCATTGCGCAAATGGCCAGGCACAGTCGACGGGGGTGAATAGGACCGTCGGCCGTCGGGCGGTGCGGGCGTGCTCCTGGCATGAGCTGCACCGCCGCACGAGAGCTTTTGCGTCCTGGCGCATGGTCGGCCAGTAGTACCCCTGTCGGAGTACCTTGTGCGCCAGGGCTCGTTCGCCTATGTGTTCCCCACAGGCCCCTTCGTGCATATCGGACAGAACCGTCCAGGCTTCGCTCGGCTCCAGGCAGCGCAACAGGGGGCGCGAGAAGGACCGCTTGTACAGCCGTCCTCCTTCCTCGGTGTACCACGCCTGCGTCCGACGCAAGCGCCGAGCTGTAGTTGTATTGTCGGGCAGGGTCCCGTCCTGCTTGAAGCGTAACATCTCCTGTACCCAAGTGGCCGGCGCGCCGTGAGCGACGGTGGCGACGACCTCTATGGCTCGGCGGGGGAGTTCTTCGGTCTCGGGCCGAGCCCAGGGAGCCGGGCCGGACGCCAGTTTAGCCAGGGTGTCGGCTCGCTGGTTCTCGCGCCTGGGAACATTCGACAATTCAAAATGGGTGAACCTGGCGGTAAGGCTTCTTACCTGTGCTAGGTATTTCGCCATAGTCGGGTCCCGGGCCTCGTATTCGCCGTCGAGCTGCCTAGCCACCAGCTGTGAGTCGGTGATGACGCGTATGTCGGTCACCCGCATTTCTAGTGCCAACTGGAGCCCCGCCAAGAGAGCCTCGTATTCTGCCTCGTTGTTGGTGGCCCTGAACCCGAAGCGGAAGGAGCGCTCAATCGAGCGGCCGTCAGGTGTTACCAGTACCAGCCCTGCGCTGGCGCCTTTTGCGTTGGCCGAGCCATCTACGTGGAGGGTCCACGTGTCACGCGGTGGCTCGAGTTCTTCGCCTGTATTCGGGATCAGCTCCGCAATGAAGTCTGCCACGGACTGGGCTTTGATGGCGGTCCGAGGTACGTACTGTATGTCATGCTCGCCGAGCTCCACTGCCCATTTGAGGAGACGCCCTGCAACGTCGAATTTGGACAGAACAAGCCGAAGCGGCTGATCAGTTATTACCTCTATCGGGTGGGCCTGGAAGTAAGGGCGGAGCTTCCGTGCCGACAAGACGAGCGCCACCGCCAGCTTTTCGATCGGCGGGTAGCGTTCTTCTGGCCCGCTCAGCATGTGGCTGACGTAGTAGACCGGCAGTTGATCGCCGGAGATTTCTTTGACTAGAACCGAACTGACCGCGTGCCGGGAGACGGCAAGGTAGAGGCCCAACTTCTCCCCCGGGGAGATCGAAGCGAGTCGAGGGAGGCTGGCCAGGTGTAGCTTCATCTGCTCGAAGGCCCTCTCGCATTCCGCCGTCCATCGGAAGTTCTTCGGATCCTTCAGGGCCTGGAAGAATGAGTGGCAGCGATCTCCCGATCGGGAGAGGAAACGCGATAAAGCGACTAGCCTCCCGTTAAGGCGCTGTAGGTCTCTGATCGTCCGAGGAGGCCGCATGTCAATGATGGCCTGTATCTTTTCCGGGTTGGCGTCGATCCCTCTCTCGTGTATGATGAATCCGAGGAATTTTCCCGAGGTTACGCCGAAGGCGCATTTGGCGGGGTTGAGGCGCAGGCCGAACCTCCGCAGAGTGTCGAATGTTTCTGCCAGGTCGGAAGGATGAGCCTCCGCCGTTCGGCTCTTTACGATCATGTCGTCGACGTACACCTCCATGTTTCGTCCGATCTGGTGGGCGAACATCTGGTTCACCGTCCTCTGGTAGGTTGCCCCGGCATTTTTCAACCCGAACGGCATAACTTTGTAAAAATATATCTCTTGCTCGGTGAGGAAGGCTGTATGTTCTTGATCTTCGGGTGCCATCCTGATCTGGTTGTACCCGGAGAAGGCGTCCATAAACGAGAGTCGGGCGTGGCCGACCGTGGCGTCGACCAGCTGGTCGATCTTCGGCAGGGGGTAGCAATCTTTTGGGCAAGCATTGTTGAGACTGGTGTAGTCAACGCACATCCGCCAGCTTCCATTAGGTTTTTTGACAAGGACTACATTGGAGAGCCACTGTGGGTACCTTACCTCTTCTATGAAACCGGCCGCCAGAAGCCGGTTTACTTCTTCTCGGATGGCCAGTTGCCGATCCGGGGCCTGCCGCCTGGGCCTCTGTTTCACCGGGCGGGCGTCGGACGAGATGTTCAGGCGGTGCAGCGCGACTTCCGGGTGGACTCCCGCTAGGTCGGCTGGCGTCCAAGCGAAGATGTCGGCGTTGGCTCGCAGAAGACCGACGAGCTGCCGTTGTTCTTGTTCGGGGAGTCCTGACCCGATTTTGACTGTTTGATCGGGCCTTCCTTCGACCAGTGGTAAGTCGATGGTGGATTCCTTCGGCTCGGGACGGGGGGTTGGTTTTTTTCCCTCCCGGGGGTCTTCCAGCGGGGATTGGATCCTTGCTCTCTTGTTTAATGACACAACGGCCAAGTAGCAGCGCCTGGACTCCCAGGAGTTCCCCGCCACTTCCCCGACCCCATCGTGAGTCGGGAACTTGATGGTTTGATAGTAAGTTGAGATGACGGCTCGGGTCTTGTTGAGGGTTGGCCGTCCTAGGATGGCGTTGTATGCCGTGGGGAGGTCGACCACCAGAAAGGAGGTCATCACAGTTTTCGCCTTCGGGAAGGCTCCCAAAGTTAGGGGCAGGGTGATGACCCCTAGTGACGAGATTGAGGCGCCGGTGAACCCCGTGAGCGTTGAGCATACCGGCTTCATGTTCTCCTTTACCAGGCCGAGCTTTTGGAAGGCGTCCCAATAAAGTATATCGGCCGAGCTTCCAGTGTCGACCATGATCCTTCTCACTTGCGCGTTGGCGATTCTGGCTGATATTACCAACGCATCGTCATGCTCGGCTAGTTCAGGTCCGTCAGTCGGGAAGGTGACTTCGGGGCCTTTTTCAGGTTTGGAATCTTCAGCCCGGGAGGCCCTGGCGTATGCCCTTCTGCCCGCCATGGAACTCCCTCCGGACGTCGGGCCGCCGGTTATGACATCTATGTGTCGCTCGATGGGGCCCTCCGGGCGTGGCGAGAGCTCCTTGTCTGGTCGAAGGTATGAGCCGAGGTGCCCTCGGCGGATGAGCTCCTCAATTTGCCTTTTTAATTCTCGACACTCCTCGGTGTCGTGACCGGGCTGCCGGTGGAAACGGCAGTATTTAGAGCGGTCCGCGAGCTTGCGCGGACTCCTCATTGGGTAGGGGTCTTTGAGAAGGCCTTTCTCCTTGATATGGAGAAATATTTCGGTCCGAGAGGAGTTCAGGCCCGGGGGAGGGGACCTAGGTACCGCATCGTTGAGGCCGCAGGCCCTGCGCCGGGAGGTAGCGGGCTGTTGTTGTTGGGACTGCTCTGGCTTGACCCTCTTGCGCTCGTCACGCTTCCCGACCATCCATGCCTCGGCAGCGATGTACTAGTTCGCACGCTGCAACATTTCGGGAACCGAAGTAGGGGGTCGCTCCACCAGAGACCAAAAGAATCGGGTAGGGCGCAGGCCCATCATGAATGCCTGCATCATCAAAGAAGGGTGAGCATCAGATAGCCCGCGGATTTGTGTGGTGAAGCGGTTCACAAAGTGAGAAAGGGGCTCATCCTCCCTCTGGTTGAGCCCGAGGAGCATCGCCACCGACGGTTTCGGCTTGGCATGAGCCAGGAAGTTAAGCTCAAAGTCCCTGGCCAACTGGTCGAAAGAGGCGATGGTCGCGGTCTTCAGATTGCTGTACCACGCTCGGGCTGGGCCCCGTAGGGTTGTCGGGAACGCCCTGCACATCAGGGCATCGGACGTCCCGTATAGCGCCATTTGGGCGCGGAAAGCAGCCACGTGGTCTGCCGGATCGGTGGCACCTTCATAGGCATCTAATGACGGGAGCCGAAAATGCGGCGGGATTGCCTGCTCTTGAATCTCGGGGATGAAGGGGGACCCCTGGTGTTGTTCGGCCCCCGGGTCTCCCCTGGTCCGGCGAACCTCACGCTGCACCTCGTCCAGCCGGCGGCCTACGAGGCGTAGCTGGGCCCACAGGCCCTCCGCCGAGTCTGAAAGTGGGGCTACGGGCGTCGGGTGCGCCGCTGGTTCCTTCGCTCATC